GTTTTGTTTTCTTTGTATGTATGGACTACTTGGGTTACCGACATCTGGTGAAAATTTCTTGTCAACAGCACCTTTAGAAATATATTTACTGAGAAAAATGGTGACATGTTCAATATTTATTTTACCCGCTATATATATATATAGTAGCGGATAGCCTTGCCATATTAATATGGCGAATATAATTGCTGTGATTGACCAATCCGTGTAATAATAATGATCTATCTATCTTGGAGAAAAAGTCATTTATTCTAAATTGGCTCATGTTGATTGCTGCGCCGTGATCTAAAGATCTTCTGCTTCCGTCTAGCTTCCCATATTTACCTGTTTGATCGGTAGGATCCATCTGTGATCTGTATCTTCCCTTCGACCCATGAAGGTGCAGACAGGACGCACACTGCAGCCTACGGTAGTCTACTGCACATAGAGGGCGTTTTCCCAGCATGAGAAACATTTGATCGGTCCACCTAGGGTAATGCAAACCCACATACTACATCACTGAACACAAATCAGGGAGGGAAGCAAGAGCTGAAGTACAGTGTGCGGAGCATCTGTAGACCTATACTGTGAACCTGCCACATGCGTTTGGACTCTTACTGCACAGCCGGTGGATATTAAATCACTACCGGAGATTTGTTTCCCCTTAAAGTGGCTGTAGATATCTCATCGAACTTGATTTGACCAAAACACCTCCTTGTTCTTGATGATACAGCGCTGTTTTTAAACACCGCGGCTGATAGGATATGGCGAGCGTTCAGCCGGTGGCCACGCCGGGCGACAGAGCACCTCCTCCCGGCCACAGGCAGCACGGAGCTGCCGCGGGCTCCGGTACCGGTGACATGATGATGATGATGATGTCTTGCTCCGGATCGGTGGTGCTACCGGCCGGGGTGATAAACCCTTCGGTTCCGATTCGGAATATCAAGACGAAATTCGCAGTCCTCACCGGTCTCATTCAAGTCGGCGAGGTCAGCAATAGAGATATAGTCGAAACGGTGTTGAATCTGGTAAGTGTGACTTCTTGTGGCTGTGTTTCAAAACATACTGAACTCAATACCTAGGCTAGACAGCATTTGTGAGGCGCTTTGAACGAGCCAAGGGATTCTAGTTCTTTTGATTTTGAAGAACATTGAGTGAACCCCATGAATGAATGATGCTGTGATATTATATCACAGATCGTGAGTATTAGGATGCAGCTCTTATGTGCTCATTACAGTCACTGACATATGGTAAAGAGTCTGTCATACTTATTAACAGCAACCAAACAGGTGTCTTACTGTAGTTTACATGCAACCTGTGCTACAATCCGACACAGAAAAATTCAGTCTTGTTCTTCAGTGAAAAATATCTAAACATCCTTAGAAACAAGGCACAATATCACTAAATATGTTAGACTTTTTGTTAAAACTTGGAAAATGGTGGAAGAAAAATAAACTTGATTAAAAAAAAAGGTTGCATCTGAATTACATTTATCATGTTTTAAGGATGTTCACATATTTTTCTGGACAAACATCATGATTATTTATTTATGTGTTTATCTATGTGTGTGTATTTGAAAACGACAGATCAAAATGTGTTCTTCAACAAAAAAGATCCCCAGAATTTTTGTATAATTCCACTAATTTGTATTTTAAACAAAATATTTTTTCGGGAGATTTAATTGAATTTGTCTCACTTTATTTATTATCGCGATTTTTAGATGAGCAACCAGGCCTAAAAATGGAAACAAGGCACAATATCACTAAATATGTTAGACTTTTTGTTAAAACGTGGAAAACGGTGGAAGAAAAATAAACTTGATTAAAAAAAAAGTTTGCATCTGAATTACATTTATCATGTTTTAAGGATGTTCACATGTTTTTCTGGACAAACATCATGATTGTTTATTTATTTTAGTTAACTTTCTTTTTTCAAACACTTTTCTCACATATCTTTATTAGTACCTGCCAACCCAGAATAGAACTTGTTTGCATTCAGTGTTAAAAGCATAATCAACATTATTTCCTTGGAAATGAAATTTTGAGCTTCAGCACTTCTAATGCCATCTGGAAATATAGAGGCCTATATTTATATATTCACAACATACAATGTTAGTCTGAAAGCATTATGCAGTTAAGAGGCAATGGCAATGAAAGTTTGTCCTTATGTGTCAGTGCAAGTGTTTTGTGACATTTTTCCTGTTGTGTTGCACATTGAGAATCTTTCGATTTCATAATGCTCAGTCTTTGACTGTAAAAAACAGGCAGACTCATTGCATGTGTTTAGCTAATGCACTTTAGTCTTGCGTTAATAGTCTATTTGCTGAGTATGTTAAAATACGCTTTATGTGGAACACACAAGACCTGGACCAGGATGTTACTTATTCTTTAACTCTGGTATTGTGGATGTTTTTGTACTTGTTGTGATTCTTAATAAACTGAGTGAAGAGCTGTCAGACAGACAGCACTGACCTGCAGGAAAAAACTAACCATATTATGATATTTATCCTCCTAGGTGGGATTTTCAGTAAACGTGATCGATTTGACAAATACAGATGCTCTTTTTTGAAGTTTTGACCTGTGGAATATGAATTAAGAAACCAGAGGCTTATCCAGCATAGAAAAACTCAGGTGGTTCTTTTGTGACTGTTGTCTGTCTCGCACAATAGCTGCTCACCGTGAGTCAAAGAGGCGATGCTGACAGCATTTAGACAACAGGTCTGTTCCTGAGCTCACAGGTGCTGCTGTTTACGGCACGCCAGGGTGCATTTCTGATTTGACAGTGGAGGGAATAATTACTGCCCCTCCCTTAGCCACCGTTTGCTAAGGGTTCTTCAGCCACCATGTATTTTCATAAAGTGTTCATCAGTCGGTTAGCTGTTTTAGTGACCGAGAGAGTAGCTTTTTTTGTGTTTTAACAAGTACTTATTTGTAGGGTTGTTGCAAGAACAAAATGTCAAGAGGTCAATACCAATGTCAGTGACAATTTCATTATTCTTGAAACCACTACAAAAAACTATATGAAGACACTCCTGACTTCATGCAAAATGGAATACACCAAAACATTTCTTAAACAAAATATGCATTTTGTGATACAGACAGATCCTGTTGTCCATGAAATTAGGCATCTCTTGAAAGACATATAAACTCAGAATCAGGAAAAAAAAGCCAGAATTGTGAGATGTTAACTTCAAATTGCAAGATATAAACACAGAATAGCTAGAAATAAAGTCATAATTTTGTGTCGTAACTTTTGAGCCTGAGAAAAATTTAAGAATTGTGACATGTTAACCCAAAATTGCAAGATGTTACACTGGAGTTCTGACAAAACAAAAATCAATTGCAAGATGAAAACTCAAAATTGCGAGATTTTAACTCAGAATTGCTAGAAATAAAGTCAGAAGTGTGTTATAAACTCGCAATTCTGAGAAAAAAAGTCAGAATACTGAGATAACTCAAAACTGCAAGATATAAACACGGAATTGCTAGAAATCAAGTCAGACTTTTGTGATTCTGAGAAAAAATGTCAGATTTGTGAGATGTTAATTCAAAATTGCAAGATGTAAACTTGGAATTCTAAAAAAAAAGGGGCAGAATTGCAAGATGAAAACTCAAAATTGTGAGATTTTAACTCAGAATTGCTATAAATAAAGTCGGAATTGTGTTATAAACTTGTAGTTTTGAGAAAAAATTCTGAATTGTGGGATTTGTATTCAAACTCACAATTCTGAGAAAATAGTAATTGCGAGATGTTAAGTCAATATTGCAAGATATAAATATGGAATTGCTAGAAATTAAGTCAGAATTTTGTTATAAACTCATGATTCTAAGAAAAAAAAGTAAAATTGCGAGATGTCGACTCAAAATTGTGTGAGATATAAACTTGGAATTGTGAGAAATAAAGTCAGAATTGTGAAATAAAGAGTCGCGATAACATTATTAATTTTGTTTTTACTTGGAAACAGGCTTCCATACATAGAAGTGGCTGCATTTACAGTACACTGCTAGGTATAATGATTCAATATTTTGACTGTTGCTTTACATTCAGATAAGACAAACCATCAGTTTTTACATTAATACATCGCCAAGACAAACGTGATGCTCCATTATGCAACCAAAGGTTAAGAAACATTTAACTTTTTCTGCAACGCACTGTAAGCCTGGCTATCATTAAGTATTTTTTTACTGTAGTGTCAATTTGATGTCAAAGTACTTTTGACTGTTCGATCAGCATAATGAAGAGCTGACTAAATGTTTTGGTCCTCAGTTTCATCCAAGTTCATGATACATTCAACTACTTTCTCTTTTTTTTTAACTCATCGTGTTAGAAATGTCACCAGAGCGATTCGGGCCCAGCTCTCCTTTGTGCCAAACTGCCTTAACCCCTACAAATCTGAACCTTGATATTTGCAGTCTCATTGTTCCCGCTCCAGAGATTAATTACGGGCCGTTCTGTCACAGCGGGGAGCGACGAGATCAGACCGGGCAGACGAGACATGTTGCAGCCCTCGGCATGTTGGGGCAAAGTCATCATCCTGTGACTCTGAGGGACTTTCGATACTCTCAATACAACCCGGACGTCTCTTGAGTAACAGTGAAGTGAGAAGAACAGCACATGAGGCAAATCTCACCTTTCTTGATCCGAGAAAGGCAAATTCACAACTCACAAGTCACAGTGTGACTGTCAAAGCGAGCTGATCGAGAGACGTTTTTGAAAGTACACATAAGTCAAATTTTGCACCGTGATTCATAGTTACAATCATCCTGTCATTGTGTTAACACTCTTTTTCTTGTCAGCGTCTCAGAAAGGCAGTATATGGGAAGAACAGTAGTGTGGTTGCTTTGATGTCTCGATTAAGAATTGATTGCTGGAGTCTCTAGTGTGCAATGACTCGGAGATGTGTAATGGAATTGATCCCGCTAGATTTACTTTGGTCGTTTTGACCGAGGCAGCACACTCACTCGACTTTATCGTATCGTTAAATCTGATCCAAAAGAATCAAACGGAGGGGATGTTACACCTTGTTTGTCCCTTTGTACTTTCAGCACACTTTAAATCTTGTGTACCTGATTTTTAGAGAGACTCTGACAAAGCAACTCTGTCACTCCGGAAGTGCGATGCGTCACGGACATCCCTGTGTTGGACAGGATGATGTGTTCAAGCAGGAAAAGGAAATAGGGCCATCAGTCTGCCAGGTAAGACACCTAGGAAGAGCTGGCAAGCCGGACTCGATCTAACAGAACTAGGCACCCAGTTTGAAATTCAAACCCAATATAAATTCCAACCCCCCTTTTTTCTCCGTCCAAGAATGCTGCTATTTGTTACACTTGAGCTGTTTGCGTTCAAACTCAGACCTGTGGGTGGTGAAACAGTGACTAGTAGGAAACAGAACATTAACAATTAAGAAGCTCTGTCAAGGATTTTAACAAACTGCAAAAGAGACTCTTTTCAAAGCTGGAGCTAAAAATGCTTTTTGTATAATTCTGCGTACCAAGCCAGTAGAATTCTATATTTTATGAAGGACTTTTAAAGGAATAGAAACCAAATGTCTAGAATTTTTTCATCTGATCTTCTCCTTTGAGTGTAGTTTTCAAAGTATGGTTGAGCACTAAATTATAAATCCACATATTTAAAGAAAGAAACATTGGAACTCTAAGTTTATGCACAACATGGTTTTAAACTTGACTTTTACTTTAAAAAGAATAATGAGAGATACCCATGCAATGCCATGATTGTTGTGGGTGTTTTCCAGGGTGTTGCTTTTATCGCATGAACCAATCACAGCCAATCATAACCAGTCAAATCCAATCATATCACCCATTCATTCTCAATTTTCCTCCACCAAACCCACCGCATGCTTTAAGGGGTCTGTTAAAACTCAATGGGCTCAGGGGAGACATGAGAGACACGGACTCCTGCTGTAACTTTACCTGTTGGTGTCACTGTTGTACAGATTTACTTTAGAAAAATTAGTGATTTATACGTTTTTCTGTCATATTTTGTAATATATTTGCATTGTTTTATTTTT